CTCGAGGCTGGGGTGCAGGGGGAACTTGGGGGCCCAGAGGAGGAGGCGAAGGAGCAAGGGCTCGGGGTCCTGGAGGTGCAGCGGGGCCGCGAGCGGGGTCCCGCAGGGACAGAGTGGGGGGACGCGGGAAGCCGATCGCGGAGAGAAAAGCGCGTAGTGGGTGTGAAAATGGTTAAAAGATAGCGAAGAGGAAGGAACTGTGAGGGGAAGCGCGGGGTGGGAGGAGGAGAGGGACGCGGAGCGAAGGGACGGAGGACACGAGGGACGAGGGAGGTGAGAGCAGGCGTCGGTGGGGTCCGGGGGCGTGAATGACCCCGGGGCGAGGCGTGAGGGGCGCTGGGATGAGAGGTCCGGACGGGGCTGACCCGGGCGGGCCCGGCGAGAGAGCGTGGCGTGGGGGGACTTGGTGGAGAAAGTAAAGGAGACCCGGGGTGAGGTGGAAGGGAAGGGGGAGCCGCTGGAGAGGTGGAGCAGAGAAGACCGAATGGAAAGCGAGAGGAAACTAAGCAGCGGGTGCAGGACTTTCCCCGGTAACTGGGACCACTGGGGACCAGGCTTTCTCTTTACGGCGCTTGGATCAAGTGCAGGAGAAAACAAAAAGTGACTAACGGTGGAATAATGTGCATGGGGTGTTAAGTTGTTCCACGAGTGTTCCCGGGCTGTGCAGGGGCTTGGTTGGTGAAATTTTGGAAATGATGTGGTCCGGAAAAGATGGCTCACCCCTGTGTTACCATCTCCTGAGAAACAAAACTTCTTATCTTTTTAAACGCTTAGGCTTGAACGTCTAATAACTTTTAAGCCAGGGAATCGATGTTGAATTCTGCCTGCCTCCCTGTGTATTTTGCTTTGGTTTTAATTATTGCTTGTTAAGTACTTCACAACATGTGATCTCCCTCTCCCATTACGATTGATTCAAGAGTTTTCTAATCTTGCCTGGGAGCTGTCCTTCCTACTTTTGTAGAGAGACTGTGTCAGGTAACAAGATCTGTAACTTAACCATGAACGGAAGAGCACATCAAAACTGGCTTTAAACTGCCTGCATAAGTGAGTTTAACTTTTTAACAGTTCAACTAATTAAATACCTGAGGAATCTTAGTTTGGGGTTGTCTGAATGATGTTTCTGGCTTCTAATAGTAGCTTATTTAGGCATCTTTCAAATGATCTTACGCAGCGTATTTCACCATGAATTTCTGGGTTGGGAAATAATAGAGGGCTAGTTCTTTAGTAATGAGTGTGTTTAAATATTTGTGTGTTTTAAGGATATTATCTTTTTAAAAACAATATTTGGGTATAAAGCACTTTTCAATTCAAGTATTGGGAAAGACTTTCATTTGTTTATTCTAATCTCTTTCATACAGATTGAGCGGTCTAAAACTGTTGTCTGGCTTAGGGAAGTTTGAGTTCCAAATTCTTGGCAGTCAGTCTTGAGTGGGACTTTTTCTCTTCTGAGGAAGCAGATTTTAAATGTCATCTCTCAAGTGTATTTCCAAAAGATTTGGTGGGAGCTGGTACAGCAACTAAAGGGTGTTAATTTTTGACACTGGTACAAATTTAAAAACCCCAACTAACTCTTTCCTTGTTGAATGCATACTGCAGTTGCAGATGGTAACTGCAAGTTGAGTGGGTGGACTTTATCCATTCTTTTTTTTTTTTTTGTCTTTTTGAGGCAGGGTCTCCCTATGCAGCTCAGGCTGGCCTTGAGCTCACTTTGTAGCCCAGGCTGGTCTCGAACTCGCAATGATCCTCCTGCCTCAGCTTCCTGAGTGCTGGGATTACAGGTGTGCGCCACCACGCCCAGTTTACTTTATCCATTTTTTGTGTGATCCCCCCAAGTGTCCTCTTGCCCCGAAAGTGAGTAAATCACACTGATGCTGTTTCTGTTAAATTCTTTAGATGAATTTTTGCTTATTTGTAAGACTTTTATTGGTTCTTTTTGTTTTTTCCTTTAATTTTTAATTTTTTTTTTTGGTACCGGGAATTGAACTCAGGACTTTGCGCTTGCCAGGCAGGTGCTTACACCACTGAGCTATGTCCCTAGCCGTTTTCCTTTCATTTTTGTCCCATATTTTCTGTAATGGTATCTGATGACTTTTAAAATAGTAGCTCTTAAAATTATTTTTCTGGCAGGAGGTGTAGCTCAGTGCTATAGCACAAGCTTAGCACTGCATGAGGCCCTGGGTTCAGAACTGCCCCAATAAATAAGTACATAAATAAGTAGTTTAAAAAGTATTTTCATTCTGAAGGATTAGAATTGAGTGAATCCCAATGCCCCTCCGCCTCAATGGAGATTGAACCATGGGCCTCAAGCCTGCTAAGCAAGGGCTTGTCACTTAGCTATATCCTCAAATGCTAAGTGTATTTTATTTTTTAAACGATGAAATGAGTTTCTTTGGAGGTTTACAGCTATTAAAATGAAAACCTGTGTCTTGCAACGGTTTTGCATAGGAGGTAGACATTAAATGGGGTGAATCTCGTGAGCTATCTTGGTTTTCATATTTTTTGTGTGTGTGGTGGATGTGGTTAAAAAGAAGCTGTGAACTGTGTCTTCAGTTGACACAGAAGGGGGGAAACGCTATACCTCTTGTTTAGCTCCAGAGCTCCAACAGGAAGTGGTAGCACACTGCTTTCAAACAGCAGAAGAAGTTATATATCTGAAACCTAATGCTTTGCTGTTGAAATTAAACTGGGAAAATTAGTTAAATGTTAATGCCATTCTGGTGAGAATTTCCGCAGACTCATCATTGACCATAAACATAGACTGGCAGTGTTCAGATCTCTAGCGGCAATGTCAGCCATCCCCCGTGCCCAGGAGATCTGAAGCTGTTGAGGTGCCCCTTTGTGGCCTGTCTCTTCCCCCGTCATAATTGTATCTTGAAGTACCTGTGTGTGTAAATTCCTAGGCTTTTCTGTGACTGGGTTTTTACAAGGTCTGCCCTAGCATTCTGACAAAGCTTGATAAGCTCTGCCTCACAGAAAAGATCCATTTCTTCTTTGGTTTGGTTTTTTTCCGGTACTGGGAATCGAACTCACAACCTCACGCTTGCCAGGCAGGCGCTGTGCCGCTGAGCTAAATCCCCAGCCCCAAAGATCCGATTCTTAATGCCTGGGGTTTGTGTGTGTGTGTTTTGGTCGCTATGTACACGTCTTGTTTCTTTCATAACAATACCTTTTAAATCTTGATTTGCCTTTTTAAAAGTTTAGGTTGTTTTAGAAATGGGGGCCTGCCATCTTCAGACTCTCTCTGATTAAGGGTTCTGTCATCACAAAAGCAAGAGACAGTAATATTTGATTCCGGATACATTCGTCTCACAGATACTTTCTCACTTCTCTAAGGTTTTGCCATTCTGGGTCTTCTCATTTCCTTTCTGCTCTTTGTGGTGGTAAAAAGTAGATTTTCTTTAATCTGGCTTTTTGGAGATCTTGGAGTATATCAGTCAGATAATATTTGTTAATTATGGAGTACGGATATTTTTATCCACTTGAAATTAGAGACCCAGTGCCTAGGACCAACTAGCCTTTTAGGTCAAATATTGAAAAATTGTCAATTACCTCCCCAAATCCCCTTACATAATCAAATTAATATTTAATTAAATGTCTATAAAATATATTAAGGTAACTGGGAATGCTAATGCAGTTAGCTATACATGTATCTCCTATCTGATGTGGACTCATTTTAGTATTTGTGAGAGGGCATACCGACATGTTAAAAGGGAACAAGATGCTGGTGGAACATAAAGAGATAAGCCAGCTCTGTCCTCCAGGACAACCTAAGCATCTTCCCTTTGTGGTCTCTCCCTTGCCCTGCCCCCTTCTTCCTGTTAGGTATTTCCTGAGTGGTTTCATTATTTAGTGTAGTCATAGTTTGAAAGCAGAAAGTGTTAGAAATTATCTACTTTATCCCCCTGTCCCAACTTTATAAATGAGGGGAAAGAAAAGGTTTAGTTAATGCCTCAGAGTCACACAGTTGGTTGTAGCAGAGCTTCTGGTAAAACCTCCACTCCAAGTCTGTGTCACTTTTCACAATGAGACGCTGCTAATTTGGGTCAGTCTGATCATCTCCATAAATTCAAGTCACCACATTTTCTAGGGAGGAATTCGATTTTGCACATATGTCTCTAAGCGAGGGAAGTTGAGCTGCTTCCACTTTGATTAGTTATGTCCGTGTAGAGAAATAGTGTTCATGCAGTGGCTCGGAGCATTATAAGGGTTCATACTGGGATAACTCAGCACATAGCTGTCCTTTGCTCTTTCTTTTTCTGTCTATAGGTTCAGGTTAAGAGATCAAAGTATGTTCTGCCATTAAATTTCCTTCCACCTGCACAGTAACTAATGAAACTATTAATAACCACATGTTGGTAATTACTTTGGCTTAGTCTCATTAGAACACTTTCAGACATTTTATTCTTCATCATGGCATATTTTTCTTGGGTTCTCTTTCCCTAAAGTTAGAGTTAGCACACTATAGGCCCTGGGCCAGTTGTGGCCTGCAGCCTGTTTTTGTGCTGTCTACAAGGCTAAGATTGGTTCCTATATTTTCTTTTTGTTTTTTTTTTCCGGTACCAGGAATCGAACTCATGACCTTGCGCTTGCCAGGCAGGTGCTGTGCCACTGAGCTAAATCCCCAGCCCGGTTCCTATATTTTCAAAGGATACTTAAAAAATAAAACAAAACAATGAAGAATATGCAACAGAAGACCATATGTGTCGTATAAAACCAAACAATATTTACTAACTGGTTCTTTGTAGAGTTTGTTGACCCTTGCTTAAAATTAAAAACCGTTGTTGGTTGGTAACATTTCAAAGCTTTTTATCAAGAATTATTGACTGAAAAA